TTCCATCACCCCAAAAGTTTCTGTGTAGCCTTTTGTAATTCCTCCTTCCCACCTCTTCCCACCTCACTTCACCTACCCCCTAGCCCCATGCCAGCAGTAATTTGCTTTCTGTCATTTTAGATTAGTTTATATTTTCTAGAATTTTATATAAATGGAATCGTATAGCAGGTACTGATTTTTATCTGACCTTCTTTTATAATCATAATTAGTTTGAGATTAATCCATGTTGTTGGGTGTAGATAGCTTATTCCTTTGTATGGTTGAGTAACATTCTGTTGAATGGATATACCATAATTTATCTGTTCATCTGTTGGTGAATATTTGGATCATTCCCAGTTTTTTGCTATTATAAGTAAGGCTGTTAGAAGAATGAAAAAAAAAATAAGCCAGAGACTGGAAGAAAATTTTGCAAAGCATAGATCTAACAAAAGACTTATATCCAGAGTATATAAAGAACCCTCAAAACTCAATGAGAAGAAAATGAACAACCTAATTAAAAATGGGTAAAAGATTTAAACAGCTACTTCAACAAAGAAGATATACAGATGGCAAATAAGCACATGAAAATATACTTAGCATCTTTACTTCGGGAAAATGCAAAATAAAACCAGAAATAAGATACCAGTATTAAAATCGCTATAATAGAAAAAGCTGTGTCGGGCACGGTGGTTCATGCCTCAAACCCCAGTGCTTTGGGAGGCTGAGGTGGGAGGATTGTTTAAGCCCAGGAATTCGAGATGAACCTGGGCAACACAGTGAGACCTTGTCTCTACAACAAACAAACAAAATTAGCCCAGCATGGTGGTGTATGCCTTTAGTCCCAGTTACTTGGGAGGCTGAGGTGGGAGGATCACTTGAGCTTGGGAGGTCGAGGCTGCAGTGAGCAGAGATTGTGCCACTGCACTCTAGCCTGGGTAACGGAGTGAGACCTTGTCTCAAAGAAAAAAAATAAGACTGACTATGCCAGATGTTGGAAAGATGAGGAGCAACGTGATCTCTCATAGTGCTGATGGGGATGTAAAATGACACGGCTACTTTGGAGAACAGTTCGACAGTTTCTCAAAGAGTTAAATAAACACTGTGGTAGGCAGAATAATGTCTCACCTCCCAAAGAAGTGCATGTGCTAATCCCTGCAACCTGTGAATATATTACATAGAAAAAGGAGCCGGGCACAATGGCTCACACGTGTAATCCCAGCACTTGGGGAGGCTGAGGTGGGTGGATCGCTTGAGGTCAGGAGTTCGAGACCAGCCTGGCCAACATGGTGAAATCCCGTCTCTACTAGAAATACAAAAATTAGCCGGGCATGGTGGCATGTGCCTGTAGTCCCAGCTACTTGGGAGGGTGAGGCAAGGGAATCGCTTGAACCCAGAAGGCAGAGGTTGCAGTGAGCTGAGATGGTGCCACTGCACTCTAGCCTGGGCAACAGAGTGAGGCTCTGTCTCAAAAA